CCTTCAGGTGGTTGGAATGTCGAACTGAACCCTTTACTTCGCTCGCTGGAGTAGACTGTTCTAGTTCCACGTGCCATGTCTAATGGATGTCAGTTATCAGTTATCTCCTGTTAATTCCCCTCTCCAAGTTCTCCACCGCCTTAACCAGGTATTGAACTCACACTCTTTGGGTCCTGTCACTGAATCTAACTAATGCCTTTATTCACTGTGCTATGTGTCCTTGTGGACACATGGCCCATTTTCTATGAAATCAACAAAATTGTACGCTGTTTCCTTGCAAACATGGTGACAAATAGTCTCCAAGGCCATTTCCATTTTTATGGATAAAAAATGTAACAAGCTCTGAACCAATGATAAAGAAAAAAGAAACAACTGTATATTTATCCTGATACTTTTTTTTTTTTTAACTTTCCCCCCTGGATTCGTTCTCGTGATTTTTTTAACTTTCCTCCTGCCTATCCCGTATTGTTCGCATCAGCCATCAGCTAGCCTATATTGGAATTGGAACGCCTTCTTCGGTTTTTGAAATCAACTCATATAGACTCTCGTCTCTATTCATAATTGGTCATCTATTTGTAATATTCGTCGTTTCCAGTTTTACTGTTGCGATGAGGATGTAAATAAACATCGAAATATAAACTGAATCCAATATATATTTCTTTTCTATAAATATTACTTAAGGGTCATGTTTTATGGAGTGAGCTTTATCCTCTATACCTTGACATGGTCTTATGTTTATAGATTTCGGAATTATTCATTGCCTGATAAAAAGAAAAATGCTTAAGACTCGGCTTCTCTAAGCTCTTGAACAGATAAATTTAGAAAAAAAATGAAACGTTATGTTAATGTTCAATACAAACAGCTAAAATCATTAGATGAGATTATTTACGTTGACACGCCAATCCTTTGAAATAGTCGACTTTTATTTTGGAACTGAAAAGGAGTGCTTTACTTTAATGTAGTCTCGAATAAATTGTCTTGCTGTCTTGTTCACCGTTTTTCCTTGGGTTTTGACCAGAGAAAACATCTATTTCGAAATTGTCGGCTATTGACACGTTGAACTATGTTCCCCTTTAAACTTCCTACGTAATTTGCTTGATTAAAAGTCTCCTCGAGTACGAGACAGGAGGAATACGCAGAAATCAGTAATCTGTTGACAGTTATATATATATATATATATATATATATATATATATATATATATATACTTTAAACGTTATTTTTTTGTGGGTATCCGTATTTAAGTAGACGCTCCGATTATTTGAAACAGCAAATTACGTCGGATTAAAAAAATTATATATATATATATATATATATATATATATATATATATAATTTATTATATATATATATATATATATATATATATATATATATATATATATATTATTATAAAATAATAAAAAATTATAATAAAATTATGTTATATATAACTTGTATGAGTAAATGCTTATTATCTCCCCAAAAACTTACAATCTAAAATGTCTTCTTATTTTAAATAAACTTCAAAAGGTTGATAAACCCTAAAAATCAAATTAATCAATCTCTCTCTCTCTCTCTCTCTCTATATATATATATATATATATATATATATATATATATATATATATATATATATAGTCAGCAAATTCTCTTTTTAGGCATATATTAGGCATTGTAATATACGGAAAATTATTCGTGAATATGAAAAGATTATGATAAAAATAAGCAGACAATGTTTGTAATTTATTCAGCGAGACATACATATATATATATATGTGTGTGTATGTGTGTGTTAATATTAAATATCTATGTATATTGTATATTATATGAAAAGTGTTGACAATGATATTCTTTGTATATTAATTTTATGTTTTTTATTTGTTGATTTGTATGTGTAAGTACAGGGTTTTAGTTCAAATGGCTGACACGAAATTGATGGTGTTCACACAGACCTTCTCGATGTGTGACAGCATCAATGAAAGTTAATAAACTAAATCCAGTACATGTGCTTTGTATTACTGTATTACTACTTGTTCTATTTTCGTAGGAGGTGACAAGACTTTCGGACCACCCTGTACAATGAAGGACTACTCCTGCAGCATTCATGAATGTTTGATATTGAATTATTTGATATCATTAGTATTGAATTATTCAACATTAAACACTGACGAACGCTGTGGGAGTAGGGTGTGTGTGTGTATGTGTGTGAGTGCATGCGTGTGTGCGCGCGCTCGCGTGTCTAGTATGCATTTGCATCTATATACGCAAGTCAAACACACTTTATTATTAACGTGTGTTTGACGTGTGTATATAGATGGCAAAATATTACCACCTGTGTTTGTTAGGGTAGGTCAGAAGGTCATATTGAGGCGTGAAACTGAGGGTCATCGTACAGTGTTGATTCCATCTGTCTCTCTCTCTCTCTCTCTCTATATATATATATATATATATATATATATATATATATATATATATATATATATATATATATATATATATATATATAAACGCTCTATCTCCGATCTTGAGCACTCTTTCGCAATGAAAGAGAATGAGAAGATTTTAGTGAAGAGAAAGGACAATAAAAGAATGTACGAATGCAAGAAGTGATTATTCCTCTTTGGTCGAGATGAAGTCACGAGTTTCACGTGACGGCCGCTTAGTAACGTCACTTGATAGAGTGACGAAAGTGACAGTCCCTCAGTCAGCTTCAATGAGTCAAAACGAGTAATTAATACTTTTTATCCCGTGCGCCTTGGCCCTGGCTAAATCTGCCCCATCCCTAGCCACGTTAAACTATGGTACAGTTTCCCTATGGAAATATATCCTCACCAGATATAGAAAATATTTCCAACTTGGAGTCCTCAATTTGTGAAAAAAAAAACATGTTTCTCGTTTTAAGGAAATAGGTCCACACTAGTCACATAGCAGATGAATCCAGCACGCTCGATTCCGGAATCCTAAATATGACTTCTCCAGAAACACAGAGGAATTTGTCATCAGACCCAGTTCCCGTTAGTTGGGAATTATTACAAAGGTTTTGTTTTCCTTTCACTCTGCTTGTTTTTGCATACAGATTATGGTTTCACTGCATGGGACAAAAATATATATATATATATATATATATATATATATATATATATATATATATATATATATATATATACACACGTATATATATATATCATTTTGTGTATTAGGCGCAAAAGAATCTCTCTGAGAACAAGGCATGTTTTTCATTCCTTTTCTTTCAGCTATTCTGTTTCATCCGTTATATCGCACATCGAGTGCTGATGGTAGTTGAACTACTTGATGTATAGTAACAGAGCTAAAATTTATACTATTAATATATACATATATATATATATATAGGTGTGTGTGTGTGTGTGTGTGTGTGTGTGTAAATTTAATAATAAATATATATAAGACATTAATAATAAATATGTATATGTGTACTTGGAAATTTATACTAGTAATCTATATGTACAATGGGAAAGAGAGAGAGAGAATGTGAACATAGGAATCAACACTGCATGGTGACAGTCTGTTTTACGCTTCAACGTCATGTTCAGACCAAATGCCACTACTCCTTAGCGGTCTATATATAAAGCGGGCTGTGATTAAACATTGCCTATTTACGTACACGCCCCCTCCACACCACGCCCTGCCAGTATAAATAATCAATCTGTAAGTCATGACTGTAAATAACACTCAAGATTAACCCTAAACAAAAGAAGCCGGAAATGACCACGTTTCTCCCACCCTCCATTTCTCTTGTCCGCCTCGCGATGAACACGCACAAACCACTTTAAATACAATCCTCTAAGGTGTAGTAACACTTGGTCTGAAAATCGTATGGAAGTTTGAAAATTACTTAAGTCACTATGCAGTGTTGATTTCTATATTCACACTGTCTATATTTATAACTGCTCTCCGATATTGAGCAATCTTCTATAAACATAGCAAATTTGTAAAGTCGAGATGCCAGGTCAGGGCCAGTAACATTGCAGTTTCTTTATTGTTTTTATCAAGAATCTCTAAATATATAGCAGGAGCACCAAACAAGATGTAACAGCAATATTCAAAGCAAGGATGAATTGTGGACTTATAGATATGTGAGATACTTTCTGGCGATTAAATAGAATGGACAGGAAATGTCTGAAAGACCTTTTTGGTGAGATCTCCTGGTGTTGGATAAGTCGTTTTATGTCAGGTAAAAATATGTGAAGGAAATTGTCAATAAGTTCCTTTAGAATTTTCCCTCGTTTTACAAGTACGGGATTACGGACTTGTGCGAACTGACTTCAGTTATGTGCCATGCCGTATGATACATGCTTAGGTGATCATGAACCCTTCGATTTTGTCCTGCAGTAGGCTGCCATTTGTTTCTACCGTAGACCACTGGTCATCCAATGCTATAGAACCCGGTCTGTCCTGCTATAGCTGGGGATGGGAGAAGAGGATTCATACTTTTCCCAAAGGTATTAGCACGTAATATTCGACTGGAATTCGAACTCGGCTCTCCGATTCCTCAATCCGTGTCCTTATCCATTACTCCACCGTGCCTCCTTACAAACTGAATACAAACTGTAAATGTGTGCTTAGTATAATCCAAGAGAATTGGGTGGGGGGGAGTGTGAACGCTGACCGCGATAGCAATAGTTAGGTCAAGAACGTACTGTCGTAATTCAGACGTACTTGTTTGCGCATTTACTTGCTATATGTTATCGTAACAGGATAACTGTAGCTTTCACAAATATATATATTTTAGACGTGCAATGTAGAATGCTGAGCTTGATCCAACAAGTAAAAAAAAATTGTTGACGCCATTTTAAACACTGCAGATATTTCTTTCTGTTGGTGATAAAGTTTTACTGTTCCTAAGGAATCAATAATCAGCTTTAAGCGTCAATATGACCACGAGATTAGATAATCAACCGATAAAGCGGTGGTAATTTACGTGGAGACAGTCGTCTACATGGAATAACATTGTATCAGCCCATAACAATGCATCCGGCTTACGGTCATATCACGTTGAAACACTGGCACCCGTACGATCACCGAAGGTGAGCAATGTCGAGCCAGGTCAGTAGTTAGATGGTTAACCGCTTGGGAGGACCAGATGCCGTATGCTTGGATGTGCAGGTGTTGTAATAGATAATGGCTCGGAATTGTTAATCGGAAAGCCGAGTTCCAATTCCAGTTGGGTTCGTTATATTTACATATGCGCAAATAGCCTTTGGAAATAGTATGAATCTACTCCTTCTCCCCCACCCCAAGGACTAATTAGTAAAACTTGTATAACGAAATCATTATTAATCTCTCCACCCATCCCTAAAAAATCTTAAAATCTAAAAATATTTTTCTGGCTTTAAATAACCAGCAAAGGGTAGATAAACCGTAGAAAACGAATCAATCAAAACATTTCATCCACTGAAGTGAAATGACTTTGTCTTTCGCTAAATAAAATTTTTGAAAAGATACTGAACATGAACAAAAATTAACAGAATTTATAAACTAGTTGCAAGTAATTAACATCTTCCTTGAATTGAGCTCTCTTAGACATTGGTGTATTTATTCACAGAATAAGTACGTAAAAATTCGCGTTTATTTCAACCGTCCGTCGATGGCTTAGGGGGGAAATTTCCCACTGTTGCCGAATCAGTCGGGTTTCGATCCCGGATTGAAGCAATAGGAAGTCTAGCTACGCTGATGAGTTGTTGCACAGCGCGTCAGTCTGTCTGTGTATGACAATATATATTTTCATTTTACGACACATCTACTGGACATGGACAAAATTTAACAGAATTTATAAACTAGTTGCTAGTATAGCTGAAGTTACGGAGAAGAGTATGCCAGAAAGATTTAAATTGCTTCTGAAATAACATACTGTTTAGGATTTTGCTTTAAGTTAATCTTACAAACTTTACGTCATATTACTCTACAAGTGCTACCGGTAGCATGTGTAACCCAGTACTACCTGGTGCATGGTCGGACCATCGGCGACTAAGGCGGTTTCCCATCAGATATTTCTGGTGATGAGGGTGACTTGACATTCATCTGGATTAGAAACAATCCCTGTCAAAGGGTGGATGGACCTTCTTGTAAATCATCCGGCTATCTAGGATAATGGGGTACACTGTGCTCCATAGCTATGTATTGCGGTGATGAATCTCCATCGCTGGACGGAGGGGCGGTTCTTACACTGAAATCAACAGCCAGAGCGAAGCTTCCCTCGATCCAATCAACAGTCATATGTCCATGACCAAGGTGAGCCTTCATTTTGGAGAACAACGTCTGTGGTGGGACCTTAAGAGGGATGGACTTGAGCCGCAAGCATCCTGCACATGAATGAACACCTTTCTGTCTTTCGATCCAAATATGTAGAGAGAACTGGTTAGATGCACAGCTGCGCAGTGACCCTATGACCACACCCAGTGATGATGATGATGATTGTTACAGCAGGAGGAGGAGAGTTGGTCTAACGGTTACATGAGTTAAAATTTCGTTCGAGGTAATATGTTTTCGTTTCTCGCTATTTTTCTTGGGAATGGCTCGAATCGACATTTGCTGGTGTGTCAACAGAGGGATTACTTCCTGCCGCTTATACCACATGACCCAGGTGGAAAATCCAGAGTCGCTAAGTCAGTCAACGTTGATTTCCTTCCAGCAAATACTGTAGCGATGACATCCTTGGAACGTAAAAATCCCGCATTTCGTTTCATCACGTTGTGTGGATATCGCAAAATCTCTGTATACCATCAGCCAGGCTTGAGATCTGGAGAGACCATTCGATTCACTCCAGTCACACCACTAAGGGATCTTGACCAATGATCCAATGAAGCTGCTACCATGATCTCAAAGTGATGCCTATATATATATATATATATATATATATATATACAGTGTAACCCGGATATAAGAGACCCGGATATAAGAGAAACCCGGATATAAGAGAAATTCGGATATAAGAGAGATTCTCTGGTCCAAAATTAGAGCCTGTGTTAATGTAAACAAAATAGACCAAACCCGGATATAAGAGAAACCCGGATATAAGAGACTTCTTCTCCGGTCCCGACGACTCTCTTATATCCGGGTTACACTGTATATATATATATATATATATATATATATATATATATATATATATACACCACCAGTCAAAAGTATTTCGCCACACTCAAAAATGTTTATTTCTCATCCTAAAAGTGTTATTTTTAATGAAATGGTTGAAAAACTGATTTGAAGGCATTTTTTCTGAGCATGAATAAAACGTTTTTCAAAAGTTACATTATACCACCACTTGAACTCACATTAGACTATATTATGTTGAATTAATGCTTTTTAGATGTTACCTGTTTTACCTATGCTATCAATGTACTTTGCCCAGTAGTAAAATCTGCTATTCTTATTTTGTTTAAATTAAAACCTAAATTTTGCAACTTTCTTCCGGATTAATTTTTTTCTCAACAAAATTCCCAAAACACATTAACTTACACTTGAACAAAGACAAGAGATCATTAATTAAAAAAAAAGAAGGATATTCAAGCAGAGAATTTTTTTAAATTCCCAGAACTACAGTGGATTATACTGTTAGGAAACATCAGGAAACAGGACAAACAAGACATCAGAGTCACCAGCTTGCTTGACAGAAAGCTCACTGCTCCAAGCATCACTGCACAGCTGAACCAATGTTGTGAAAAAAATGTGTCAACATCCACTGTGAGGAGAAGACTCTGTGAAGTTGGCCTTTATGGCAGAATTGCTATCAAAAAACCACTTTTGAGGAATCAAAACAATGTCAAAAGGCTCCAGTGGTCAAAGGCACACAAAGACTGGACAACAGAGCAGTGGAATAAAGTCTTTTGGTCTGATGAATCAAAGTTTGAAATTTTGGGGTCAAATAGGAGGGCCTATGTGCAGCGAAGAATTGGTGAAAGCCCTGCAACCCCCTGTATCACATCAACCATAAAGCATGGCGGAGGCTCTGGTATGGTGGGGGGGGGATTTTGCCACTTGCAAAGTTGGGGATGTGAAGGGCAAATTGAATCAAACCGTCTATCACAGCATACTGCAGCATCTCGTGATCCCATCTGGAATGCGGCTTGTAGGTCAAAGATTTATACTCGTGCAAGATAATGACTCAAAGCATACTAGTAAACTCTGCCAGTGGTACATTAAAAGCAAAGAGGAACAGCACGTCCTTCAACTGTTGTCTTGGCCAGCTCATTCAGCAAACTTAAATCCCATTGAACTGGTGTTGGATGAATTTGACCGAAATGTTAGAGCTAAACAACCCACAAGTGCGGCTCACTTTTGGCAACTCTGGTAGGAAAGCTGGACAATACTATCTTCAGTCTACCTTCTGTCTTTGATGGAAAGAATGCTGAGAATCTGTGAAGCAGTGATAGCGAGCAAAGGGGGACATTTTGATTAATCAAAAGTTTAAGAAGTTTTTTGTGTTTTTTGTTTGTTTAATTTGTATTTAATGTGGCTCAGGAAGACTTGTATTTAGTATAATAAATAAAATGATTGTGGTGCCTAACCTGTTTCATTGAAAATAACACATTTAGGATGAGAAATAAAAATTGTTTAGGGTAGTCAAATACTTTTGATTGGTAGTGTATATATATTTATTTAATCAAGTTCACTCCACGTCCAAGTAAGACATTAAAGCCACTGAGACACAAGGCGTTAGTGGGTGTGGAAAGATTAGAAAACAGAAACATAACTAAGTAGCGAGTACAGAAGAAGAGTAAACACGAGGATAGTAGATAGTGATTGATATTGATTAAAGTTGACATGAAAGCATGAAGTCGGAAGAAAGTTCTACAATCGAGATTTACGAGAAAAGAAACTGTTAGCATAGAACTTATGATTACATTTAGTCAACTAAACTGTATATCGATGAGACCTTGTTGTCAGTCTAATACGTCGCTTAAATTCATAAAGTCTAGGTATATATATATATATATATATATATATATATAGTCTAGGTATATATATATATATATATATATATAGTCTAGGTATATATATATATATATATATACATATATAGTCTAGGTATATATATATATATATATATATATATAGTCTATATATATATATATATATATATATATATATATATATAGTCTAGGTATATATATATACATACATATATAGTCTAGGTATATATATATATATATATATATATATATATATATATATATATATATATATATATATATATATATATATATATATATATATATATATATATATATAAAATATATAGCCTAGGTATATATATATATATATATATATATATAGTCTAGGTATATATATATATATATATATAGTCTATGTATATATATATAGTCTAGGTATATATAGACTATATATATATATATATAGTCTAGGTATATATAGATTATATATATATATATAGTCTAGGTATATATATAGACTATATATATATATATATATATATATATATATATATATATATATATATAGTCTACGTATATATATATCTATATAGTCTATATATATATATATATATATATATATATATATATATATATATATGTTGTGTGTAGGATCCACCTAATTTGTATAGTGGAGTACCGACCATATAAATATGGTTGGTACCGGGAAGAGAGGGAGGAATCAAGAGATTCAACCAGAGACTCTGCCTGACTGCGACTCAGTCAATACATTCTCCAGGAACGGTCTTACCAGGAATATACAAAAGACTATATGTAAATATTTTGTACACTTTCTTGTTTCAATACATTTTGTTCTAAGTACATTTTGTGTTGCATTATTATTCCATGCATTAGTCAAGTTTCAACAATATATATATATAGTCTAGGTATATATATATATATATATATATATATATATATATATATATATATATATATATATTTTTAAACTTTATTATATCAATGTAGGATATAACATATATGGATATACACAGAGTGGACATACAAATCAACTGCTGATCCTTTGAGGTGTGAAATTACTATTCACAGTGTAGTATCGATTTCTATATTTACAAACACACACTCTCTCTCTCTCTCTCTCTCTCTCTCTCTCTCTCTCTCTCTCTCTCTTAAATGGTTCCACTCCAAGCAAAGCAATA